GCCCCAATTTGTAAATTATTGACACGTACTAAACGAGTATTTGGAGAATGTCGAGCTGTCACCTGAGTAATCATTTAGGATAATACCCGTTTCTTTAGGTATTTTCGTTTAGATGTTAGAACGTTGAACACCTTACCCCTTACTCCCATTGTCCCTTTTTCCCCTGACTAAATATGATACCGACTGACGCGTGCGGAGTGCGGCCTTGCCCGCTCGCAGCGTCCGCTACTGGCGACGTTTCTGAGCACCCAGCACCCAACCGCGGCCGGCGGCGGACACGCGTCGATCGTCGTCAGAGAACCCCACGCCTAACAAAACGGACAAACAAACATTTCTTTTTTTTATATTTCTATATAAATCACTTATGTTGTCTAGGTCGAGACTATCCATGATGTCGGCAGACTGCGGTAAACGATATACTAATAAATATCGAGAGGGGTATATTTCAAGGTGATAGTCTGAGTCCCTTGTGGTATTGTCTGGCTTTGAACCCTCTTAACACCCTATTAGAGGGTTCAGGCTTAGGCTATAAGTTGTAGAAAGATGATCAAGTTATATCTCATCTTTTTTATATGAATGATTTGAAACTACTAGCCCCCACTAAATAATAATTGATAGCGTTACTAAAGGTGACGAAAAACTTTAGTAATTCTATCAAGGTGGAATTTTGTTGTGTAGACAAATGTGAAGTCATATATGTAAAGAAAGGCGAGACAGTAGAATCTGAAGAAACACAGCTTTCAGATTCAATTAAACTCAGATCTCTGTCTGCCACTTAAACTTGCAAGTATCTTGCAAATATCACAGTCGTTGGGAATACCAGAATCTGACATGAAACAAACGTAACAGAAACGCTTTTTTGGCGGCTTAAAAAAAGTACTTAAAAGTCCTTCATCGGGGGCAACAAGGTGCGAGCCTACAATGGTTGGGTCATGCCGGTTTATATTCCTTTGGTATACTTAGATATACTCAGACCGAATTAGATGCCCTTGACAGAAGAGTCCTTCCACTGCTGACTGCATTCCGAATGCACCACCCACGTTCATCGGTTTGAGATTGTATATCAAGCGAGTGTGGGGGTCGCGGACTATTAAATATCAAGACCCTACACAATCGCGAGATATACAATCTCAGAGAATATTATCTACATAGTGATGTGGGAGTGTATCGCAATGTAGTTGCAGTGGATACCGGATTCACTCCGCTCGTTCTGGCTAAAGAGAATTGGCGCAAACCTTCAGTACTTAAGTACTAATGATCGCAGGGAAGATTGGAGGGGCAAAGAGCTTCATGGTCGGTTTTATCGGGCCCTCAACGGGTCCGACTTAAAAGCATCTACGACTTGGCTGCGGTATGGTGAAATCTTCGGCGAAACTGAAGGTTTTGTTTTTGCCATTATGGACGAAATTATCATGATGAACAACTATGGGAAATATATCCTGAAAGATGGTATGGTTGACGTCTGTCGGGTGTTACGACGTTATTTTTGGTTGTTCTCGTCTCGCTTACGGTGAATATTTGCACGGGCACAACCAAGTAGCCAGGATCGTACACCAACAGCTTGCGCTTAAAGACCAACTTGTGAACCGTGTGCCTTGGTGCCCTAAGGGCACCGTTGTATTGGGATCGATTTATTATCACAGACAGGACTATTGTTGCCAATAAGCCAGATATTGTGGTGATAGATCGATTACAGCGTCGCGCAGTGATTGTTGATATTGCCGTTCCTCATGACGAGAATCTCGTGAAAGTTGAAAAAGAAAAACAAATAAAATATTTGGATTTATCTCACGAGATTGTCGATATGTGGAACGTCGATCATTGTTCCGATAGTCGTATCTGCTCACAGATCGACAGCCCAGAGCTTCGACCAACACCTTAAGAGACTCACGTTAGATGACTGGATCAAGGGTCTGATGCAAAAGGCAGTTCTCCTTAACACGGCCCTTATAGTGAGGAGGTAATATATTTAAAAATGTAACTAATATGTATACATAATGTAATAAAGAAAATAATAGTAATACGACGTAAAAAAAATTTTTGTTGTTTCGTTGGTTAAGTCAAAGAACTTGATTCTTGTCGCATGTATGTACACTTTTTAAAGCGTGGTCTTTAGAAATGTTCGTTTCCCACGGAACCGTGACTTCTACTAGTAGAACATTCTTAATTGAAATTGCATAAAGAAATATGTCTGGTCTGGACACCGAGGCACAGATATCCTCCGGTATTATGTAATTATTTTCATACGTGTCCACTAATAATGTCCAGTGTAATCTATAATCGAGTACGGCTTTTGTGAAGTCTTTGTTGAGCCTTGAGCCTTGTTATTCCTTTTTTTGCTCTAGCCAGCAATAAACTTATAGCTTCGCGTATGACTTGTAATACCCTATCATAGCGACATGAATAATGACCCCGGTCAATAGCGCCTTACAACTTATCAGTAAGTGCCTGGTTGTACCTATTTCCGCACTGCATATCGTACAAGCCTTTTCTGTAGCTTTTTCCCATCTTACTAGGTTGCTTTGATCGGGGAGAGCCAGTTGAAAGACGTTGAGGTAAAATTTTAACAGGGCAGTTGATCAATCGTATAAAAGTGGGCGCTATTTCAAAGCATTGCATTCATTCTGCATTTCTAGATTCATTGCGTTCACCTTGTAGGTATTGTTTGCATCTTGTTGTAGGAAAGATTTTGTTATCTGTTTGTCGGTCTGTCTCCTAGCATTTCCCAATCCAACTCTACTGGACTGCGTACCCACTATGAATTTCTTGTGGAATTGTAGCTGTGACTCGACCTCTGATGAATTTTTCTCTTTTCCATCTTTTTTTTCTTTTTTTGGCTCATCTGCAGCGACATTCCCGTGTGAATTACTGTGTTCTTTAATCCATTGGAGGAGTACCTCATTTGTTGTGGCAAGCTGATCCAATGCTTGATGGGATTCGAAGATATCAGAGGACCAATATCAGAGGTCATTGTGTTGCCCTCCAGTGCCTTTAAACTCAAACTCTCTTTATTTCATAAAAAACTTAAAGTTATTTGAAACCATCTTTTATGTAGACTCTAAAGTCATATCAACACTCACAAAAGCAACAATCTCTGTTTTGTCAAATAGTAACCAAATAAATTAAATAAAAATTAAACTTATAAAAAATCTATGATATGCCTGTGCCGATCTACAACCGCCCGTTTCCAAAAGGTTGAGCCTTATGAGAAGAAAGGCCAAACAAACTCTGGACGGCTATACTGTCTGACGGTATACGGATGTTATAGACCTTAATACCCTTTGACATGGCCGTTGTAGCGGCGTAATGGGCCGTTTATACGCATGGCGAACCTCGACAAGTGTCCACAAACACAAGCGTATAAAAGGGGTGTTTGGCTCGGCTCGTGTATGCACGTCGTCGGTTACTAGTATCGGTTTTTGAACACAGATCAAAGGAAGTTCGCGGCAAGCATTTGAGACGTAATTACACGTTGGTGCGTGCTTGTTTCCTACTGCTCAATTTCATATTACAAATACTGTAGTTAAAGTAGTAGTAGTAGCAGTCGGAAATCAATACAGACTCAATGCTCTACTTGATGACTTGTCACTGATACAAATGTCGTCGATGTCTTTGTAATAGTTTGGTAAACGGTACATTTCAAATTTGTAAGAAGATGATATATTTAATTTTGCAGGTATGGCAATGTTGTTGATATCACCATTGATGTCCTATATTACTATAGCGGCAGCAACAGGTCTTAATTGCATCTCATTAGCGTGTCAATGGAATGACAGTGGCTTGGAGTTAACATAAAATAGCTGCTTGGACCGTGTAAAAGCACCCTATGCTGCTAAAATAGTTATATAATAATTATTAATTAATAAATAGTTAAAATTTGGTACACATACGAGTGTTATGGCCCAAATACAGATTTCAACTGAATAAAATGAATCTTGAATAAAGCAGTCGGTTTGAGAATGTTCGAAAAGCGCCTATTAATTAATTATAGCACGTGCAAGATTTGAATTAAGATGCAGCGTCGTCGTGTATCGAGCTAGCTTTAAGTCATCCCTCTTATTCATTGTTATAAATTTGTATCGTAAGCACAGCACAAGTCATTTCTTGGTAATTTGCTGTTTTAATTTTAAACCTAAATATTACCCCGCTACAGAGGGCCAATTCAAATGTGCTGCTTTAATTAATGAATTTTAAATATGAAGGACTATTATTAAAAATTAAAATTTCAAGTTACATCACAAACGACAAACGGGCGGGTAAATATTCATTCTTTATTTTACCGCGTCATTCACCTCCTGCAGAAATTAAATTCACGGTTGGTAATTGTTCAAAAATACTTAATTATTTAAAGCAAGCACATGACATAATGACAAGAATTTAAATGGATACCTATAGTTTATTTTCAAATATGTTCATTTTTTTACAAAGATTATTCCGTTGTTGGTAATGACGCAGAAGTAAAAAGAGCGAAGAATCACACGGGCCTATTGTCATGACTCAAGCGTTCAGTTATTCTTGCAATATAAAACGTATAATTTTATGAAATTGAAACGTGAAATTAAGTGATTATACTAGAATTACAGAAAAACAGTAACCAGTACTTACAGCAAATGAATTTGCGAGCGCTTGCCATGAGTGAGGAGGTGCACTTAATAAAAACTTGACATTACCACAGCATCCTTAGATTTACATATAAAACACCCTTTAATATATTAACCAGATAAGAACGATGGAAAGAGAACTTTTAATTAAATGACAATTGAGTGAAATATTAATTTGGTGCTGCTTTTATTTGCAAACTACATTATGCCATTTGTATGGCACATTATTTTAATGATAGCCTCGGCTTGTCAGGCGATCTTCATTGCACTTCGAGGAACTTTCATGCTCATTGGTTTAGTAGGTAAGACGCGACAGCCGAATAAACAAACACTTCCGTATTTATAATATTAAATGCAGTTCCAATTTTTTTTATTTTTTATGTTTCTGTTCTTAACCAGGTCAATGCTGAACATTCAACAGCCTCCGCCCGTCGAAGTTCACCATGAGACGAAGAAAGAGTTTCCCAAGGTCAGAATTTATGTCAACCCCTTCCCCGCAAACCCCTTTATAGATTATTATACTAGAATACAGTCACGACTAAAAGGTCACATGATCTTATTTCTCTTTTCATTTAAAATTATAAATTTTATTTATATTCATTACATGTTCCATCATGGTTCCTGTGGTGACGGATTAAGAGTACAAAGTGTCACCACCCCCCATTCATCCCCTGTGTGTAGTAAAAGCCGACTAAGGGAAACAACTACGCAGTAAAACAGCAATGCAGAGAGAAGGAAAACTTGACACAAACCATATACCAACCCGTCTGGCCAGCGTGGTATAGTAGGCCAAAACCTGGTTTCTAAAGAGAGGCCTATGTCCAGCAGTGGACTATTAAAGGCTGTTAATGTGATGATGATTGATGATGATATATATTATTACATACAAACTTATAGATTACATCTTTAAACGAAGCCTGTATTTCGACCATCAGCGCCAACTCCGCAATGTACAATACATTCAGCCGTACTATTTTATATTGTATGTATGCTATGCACTGTATCCCCGTTTGTGGATAAATATTGAGAACTTTGTTGATTTTATTATATAAGTGGGGTCCGTTAAAGTCAGAAAAATGACTGCTAAATTTAGTGGTGCACAACAACGAAGATTCGCACACGTTTTTTTTTACGTTTCTTTAATTACTGTGGATTATAGGTCATTTTATAGCATTATAATCTTCAAAATATACAATTGTCTTACGGTTAAAACTTCGCATAGTTGATAAAGCGCCACAGTGGGATAGAATATGGGTTTATTATTGCAAACCTTGAGTACTGTTCTCTGGGTAACTTCAACGGACTTCAGGACAGTTTTATATGTGCCTCCCCATGAGGTAATACAATATGTTAGGAGCGACTGACGTAACGCAAAATATATTTGCTTCATCAACAGCGCAATGTTTTGGCACACAAGTATTTGATGTGCTCTTTAAAATAAGGATTACTGTCTATTATAATACCCAGATACTTTATGAAATTTACAACGCTCCAGCGATGAACAGTTATAGTCAAGTCCCAAGGAACACTCGTGTGGGATAATATTATTTCTTCGGTTAAGCCCTGCACTACTTCTTACGCTGAAGCAAATATATTTTGTCTTGTTTACATTTAGTGTTAGAATATTATTTCCTTAACAGTATTAAAACTGCTGGACAGCTTCAAAAACTTTATCCCAAGATTTTTAAAGCTAGTCTCTGTTGCTGTCATGGACTCAGTAGCAGAGTCGCTAAAGTTGCTGTAAAAGATACTTGACAACCTAAATGGAGCATTTTGGCAAAACCTAAGTTTAACTTTCAATTAACATTTCACCTCAGACCGATCCAAACAATTTTGAAAAAGAATTCACCAGAAGAATATAGTTTACCAAATGTCTTAACGCAATGCATCAAGAAAAAGAACCTCGAGAGGTATATGTCTAGCGTGGAGGGCTATAGTCTGATTGATGACTCTTTTTACCTCGTAATTTGACAAATTGAAATAGCAATCTTGACATATTTTTGGTCTTGTTTTGTATTTTAGTAATAAGGTTCTAAGAATAGGAATAAGTAAATATCTGCAAATCTAGCTAAGTATCGATCCTTATTCCGTGGTGAAAGTAATAATTTATTGACTTATGTGTATTAAAAAATTGATCAATCGACCTCGCAGTTCTCGCCTCCAAATTTACCGAATAGATTTGATTTTAACAATTTTATTCACAGAGTATTCCACCACACATTGGCATTGGATCTCCGGAGGATACTTTAGGTTCCTGTTTCGGTCTCATACCGAAACCTCCGCACAAAGACGTAATCAAATACAACCTGAATGCTAATAAGGTAACGTTCAAGATACAATTTTTAACGTGTAACAAAATTTACAACATTTTTTGTTAGCGACGTGTTTTAATTGTTTGGGTTTAAGTTGGGGTCGGTCGGGTTTAATTGTTTGGGTTTTAGTTGTAGTTTTTTGGTTAAAGAAATAGTGTAAGGTAAGTACATCTCTTAAATTTCGTGGTGTGGCCACGTCTTGCGGCAACCGCCGAGCTACGTAGGGAACAAATGTCTGGCCATGCCGCTTCCGCCAGGCCACCCAAGAAGTTCTGGCTTATCACCCCTTGGCATGTCTCCTAAGGGATGATATGCATGCCAACGATCTCATCACACGAGATACCGAAGTGGAGGAGAATGAGTCTGAAAGCGAAGCAAGCGGGATTAACGCTAGAATGATGATGATGATTAAGTACATCTCCTAAAAATTGTGATACTTTTTGGAAAAAAAGTTAATAACTCAAAGAGTACTGGGTCTACCAATAGGGATGACCTGGTTTTCACAGCTCATAGCGGCCATGTTTGATGATGGATCTTTGACGTCTCTTGACATTTATGTTCAGTAAGGTCTGCCATTTTATCATGTCACGTTTCACTTTAAACCAACGCTTGGACATAATCCAAAAGTATTACCCAAATTCGCGTTCTCCTACCGCTACAGTAAGAGCGCTTCGCGTAAAAAACGGTCGTCATAGTGCTCCTTCTGTACGCGCTATAAATCGCATAATAACAAAATTTGAAAGTGAATTCACTCTCTACGATACTGCTGTGCCTGTGACACAAAGAAATTCCCGTAGTGAAGAGAATATCGCAGCCGTTCAGGCCAGTGTTGATGCGAATTCAAATCGATCTGTTCAACGCGGCTCACAAGAGTTGGGGCTCTCTCCAATGACCACCTGGCGTATTTTGCGGTTGAATTTGGGCCTACACCCATACAAAATTGTTTTGCACAAGAATTGAAGCCATCCGACCATTGTATACGTCGTGAATTTGCCGATTATGCACTGGAAATGATTGAAGCCGATGACGATTTTCATCGTAAAATCATCTTTTCAGATGAGGCCCATTTCTGGCTCAATGGATTTGTTAATAAACAAAATTGTCGCTATAGGAGTGAGTCAAATCCACGTGTGGTTCATGAATCAAAAAATAACAGTTTGGTGCGGTTTATGGTACGTTGGAATCATTGGTCCGTACTTCTTTGAAAGTGACGAAGGAAACCCTGTTACTGTGAATGGCGAGCGCTAGAACTCGATGTTAACCGAATATTTCTTTTCGGAATTTGATGATATTGATGCAGACGACCTTTATTTTCAACAAGACGGTGCACCAACTCACATTACTCTAGTGAACATGGAATTATTGCGTGGAAAGTTTGGTGAGTCGTTAATTTTGAGAAATCGACCGATCAGTTGGCCACCAAGATCGTGTGATTTAACACCTTTAGACTATTTTCTATGGGGTTACGTTAAATCTTAAGTGTACAGTAATAATCCAGCTACAGTTCGTGACCTAAAAACCAACATTCGACGAGCCATAGCCGACATACCGGCCGAAATGGTGCACCGCGTCATTGAAAATTGGCGTGAGCGGGTGACCGTCTGCAAAAAGAGCCGCGGCGGTCATTTGGCCGATATATTATTTAAAACATAAATTGCATAAAATTATCTACCAAATAAATAAAAAAAAACTTGTGTTTTATTCAATTTTTAAACCAGGACGTTCTTATTGGTAGACCCCATATATGTTTGCTTATCAAAAATGATAACATTTAACCTACCTTTGTATATATTTAGAAATACCTTTTTGTTCTTAGATATGCTCTACAGACTACCTCATATTCTCATTTAATATTAGGTAAGGGATATGGAAAAAATAAGTGAAAAGATAAGTTAATTAATGAAACATAAATAAAAAGAAAAATATTAGTAAAATGTTTGTTGATCTATTTCAAATATTTCCTTCGTCTCCGACTATGATTGAACTAATAATTATTAACAATAAAAGGTGATACATAAACTTAGCACTACGATCTGAAATAAAGTATAGGAATACGATTTTAAAGTATCTTCTACTACTCGTATACAGCGTTGGCAACGCATGCCTGTTGTCAAAATAACAACTAGCCAACAAAGAGTTAACAACTAATGTTCTACCGTTAAATGCCTGGGAAAGTTAAAATGGACTGATAGCTTTGCTCTTAGCTTAATGATAAGCACTTCACGCTCTCCTAAGGACTTAGTTTTATTGGGCTTGTTCCGAAAAATGAGTTTGAAGAAAATTTTCTACCAAACAACCAAGAACAAGCTGTCAGTCATCAGCGTTAAGTACGTAACATTGCAGTTACAATTAACTTTATAGCTAATAAAAGACTTACTTAGGGACCATATTTATCTTGAGTTTAACTATTATGAAATAAAGTTCTAACATATTATGCTCATTAAATTTAAAAAAGATGTAATTTGCTTTTTTCAGAATTTACGTTACTTATGCGAACTGGACTGGATCCATCCTGAGGATAAAGGCAGGCAGTTTGTATTGTCGTACAGTCTCGCTGACGGCTCTATCAAGATTGGTGAAATCCCGCGCAGGAATTCTGGTATCACCGGCAGAAAGTTTCTTAAAGCTATGAAATTGCAAACGCCAGAATCCGATCCCAATTTCCCCACATACTACACTCCGGATAGATTCTATATCGGTAAGCAAAGTTTATTGCAAGAAAATATTTATTATACATCGCCAGTGCTGGCGCCAACTAATAAAATCGGTGGTTTAGTTCTAATCTTGGAGCATTTTTAGAAAACTACCACAACACCATGTAAAATAATTGAATCTTTCCATTGTGTATATAGCTTTATCTACACAGAAAGAACATTCGACAGTTAAAACTTCTAGTACCCGTAAATTAATAATGAAGGACTTAATTATAATTTTCTGCAGTATGTCATCTGCTCGGTAATCATCGGGTAATTACTTAGCTATCCATAAGTATGTATGATTCCTTATTTGCTACAAAAATGCAGTCATTTGCATTTGCGAGTTTTACAGACGTGTGACTAGTTTTTATTGTACTTACATTGACAATTATAATATCACTATGGATTTTCTATATTCTATTGCCATGTAATATTAAGTATTTTATATGACTGAAGTGAAGAAAATGTTATATGGTAAATTCAATTTACTCGTAGTTACTTAATTTTTATTAATCCACTCTTAGCTTCTATCCTTCACCAACGCTTCGTCTACTATCATAAACTCGTTTGATTGATCATATATTAAAGTAAAATACTAATACTTATTTAAACTTACTTATGAAATTAAATGTGACGAATTGTTGTTCCTGTCCTAGGGGTCTATCTAATCATAGAACGAATATACAGGTACGTGACACCGGCCTCTCCAAAGTACTGTAGTACCGGTCCCGTTTTTTCATTTGAGAGTTGTGGTATCGCTTACCCTAGCGCTCAATCCATTTTTCTTGCCCCAATAGCCTTTCCATTTCTTTCTTTGTGCCGTCTGCAAGCAAAACACATTCCCGAGGAAGATTAGCATCAGTCAGTCGGTCGGCCATATAAGACTTCAGTCAAAACTCTTAGCGATGTTACATATTGCACCATCCCCAAACAAAATTGGGGCAAGAACAAGCAGAGAGGTAGGTATGGTATGTATTGTAATAAGTTCATGTAGATAGGTTTGTATTTACCTAGGTAGTCTTAATTTTCTTTACTTATGCAATTTACGCTTATTATAATTAAGTTTAAATATCCTGAACAACGATACTTCGTTTTGAGTCGGTGGTTAAAAATATACCCGTAATTAAAGCTGGTTAAATACACAATATTTCATAAACGATTTTACAGGCATAGGTACCAGTCTAAAATAACGTCATATTTCTCTTATGAAATAGCGGAGAAAATGCTTTCAACTGCATCACTTGGATAACTTTGATACGAACTGCAAGTATGTTGGCTAAAAACTCTAACAGACAATGAAGATTTTTAACGCGGAGGTCCGATCTACCAAGTTGCGAATTTCACAAACCTCAAACTAATGAAATTATGTATACTTATGTGACTAGAATTAACATATCGTTGTTTTTCATATTATTGTCTTGAATTTTAAATAAGTATTTTCTTATTTGAATTTAAACACAATCTTAACATGTTCTGGTTTAAAAACTACTAGAACGATCTTATATAAACAAGCTTGGTTTATAAGGGAATCAATACAGAAGTTTTGTCAACAAATAATTGTTTAATTTTGTTTTTTTTTTTTTAAAGACAAGACAACATTAGGAATATATTCAGTGTCGCGGGAGACTTTACAAACATACACATGAAATGGATACAAAGAACACCCAGACTCAGAACAACAATTTGTGGATCACACAAAGTATATGGTAGGAACCGGCACGTGGCGACCGCTTAAACCACTACGCCATCGGTTACTGATAGTTGGCCCTATTGCATAGTAAAGTTTATGTGTATTTAGAACAAATTTAACAATAATGTAATTTTTGGTAGCGGCAAAAAAGCAAATGGGTCAACTGATGGTTAGTGACTACCGCCGCCCATGAACATCTGCTCAAGAGATGAAAGCGTTCAAATGAATTCCGTCAGAATTACGGGGAGAGGGAAGATTAGGTCTTTCTTTCGTGAATCCCCCTCGGGCCGTCTCCCCACCGGGGTTTGCGTCAGAATCGGACTGACTAAAACTGTACGGTGTGCCACTCTGCGCCTGAAGGAATCGGGAACTGCTGTTATTAAGACATCCGGACCCCTCTTAGGCCTGCCCGCAAAGCGCGGGCACCACCTTTTAGGGAATTTTCTATTTAGGCGAAGTACGGCACACGAGGACGCCGGTTATTTGGTAGGCCGTTGATCACTGCAGTCAGCCTAGGGTCTAGGGAGGAGGCAAACCGGGGCACCCGCCCCGGGCGGCAGTTTCAGGGGACACCAAAATCATAATATAATACAGTTTAAATTAAAAACCTTGCTAAACCAATCGCTTAGACCATTATTCAGACCATGATTCTGAGTCAAAAAACATTGGAATTTTCTACTGGAATTTCTACCGGATCCGGGACTGACGATGGGGATGTGTGCAGAAGCATGACTCTCCCACGAAAGATAGAAGATAGGTATAGTTAAACCGCCGTAAGCTTGGCCCTCCTGATGGTTTGGGGGACGCGGGGCGGGGGTGCATTCAACCAATTAGCTAGTGCGTCGCTGTCCGCCGGCAGTGACTGACGTGAAAGCATGGCCGTACGTGTTATTTTTCTTAAGACTGCTACACACGGTATTATTTTGCAACATGGATAATCTGCCGACTCTGCGTCACAAAAAGATTTAAAAACTTGAAGTGCGGCTTATAGAGGTTCTACTGTTAAAGTTCTAATAAAGAATATTTATTATTTTACTTAATTTTTAAATTGTATCGGAATATAATTTACATAAGGAAGATAAGGTGATTTTATTAAAATTATTTTACAGTATTAAATTTTACAATTAATCATAAAAACTTACAATACACTGACATTATAATACATGGAAATAAATTCGATTTTTATTACATCGTGTGTAGATTAAATCTCAAACAAATAAATCTGAAGAAATCGAGTTAGTACATCGTGTCATGTAAAGCCGAGCGCATCACCCGCCCCGCGTCCCGCAAACCATCAGGAGGGCCAAGCTTACGGCGGTTTAACTATATTAGTCAGATAGTAAAAAAAACTACCAAATTCATAACCAAGGGTAATGAGATGCTCTATCAGTCGTAGAGTGGCGCCGAGAGGACCAGTAGTTCAACTAACATAATAAGATGCAAGCTTGTCGTCAACCTGACATTAAAAATTAAGCTGTTTAATTAAAGAGACCTATTGATATAAAGCCTAAAATAATAAGTGATGGAAAAATAATTACTAGTTTATTTTATTTTCCCTTGAGAAAAATAGGATTTTTAATCCGTGATTTGATTTCACCAATCAGAAAATGTGTCGCAATCGTACAATTTTCACGGCTTATTAATCAATCAGCCGTGTTACTTAGCTTGTCTTTAATTGGCGCGAAAATACAAATAATAATTTGGTAAGTGCGTGATTTCAATTTGTGGCAAACTATTCAAGTTCATTCTTCATTGCGTCCTTCTGAATTAAAATTTCTATAAGTAAATAGAGTAAATGACGTCTAACATAGTCAAGTGATTTCCTGTTCGCCCATAATGCATTTTTGTTGCCAGTTTTTTTTATTTAAATTAAAAATACTTTTTTATTTCATTTAAATATAAGGGTAAAATACCAAATTAAATGTTACCCTGGTGGTATTATTTTAAACATATGAAGCGTTGAAAAATATTTTTTTTATTTGTCAACTCCTGGATTAGATAGGAAAATTAGATTCATATATAATGAGTGAAACAGTGGGAAACCTTAGGGAATTTTATACCATTACCTTACTTCTTAAATTAAGGTATGTTATGAAATAATTTTGTTTACAAAAGGGGATTGAAGCTAATTAAAACCTAAGTGCGAGCAGGAGCATTTTCAGAGAGTTCGAGCCATCTAACCTATGCTTCTTTACCACTGCTTATACTTGGTACTTTATTTGGCAGGTGGAATAGTGATAGTATTCAAGCATCGTTTCAAGATCATTGGTTGTGACCTGTTCGTTTATCGGTACATGACTGCAAACCCTGAAAAGTTCCCACAGGAGGTCATCGATAATGTTCGCAATTATCACATGCGAGAGGGCAATTTGAAGGCTGACTTAGAGGTGATAATTTACAAAACAACTTACCAATAAAAAGTAATATAGGGCCAGTCTATGAAAACATTTATGGTCCTTCTAAAACTTACATTCTGAAGGCCAATTCTCGTAATAAAAGTTCAGTCAAAATTCAGTGCCGATCAACTCTCGGCCGATAGTTTATTTTTTATTCATTTAGAAATATTTATTACCTATTTATGTATGTGTGAATAGAATTATTTGTTCACATCACTATACATAATCAAACGTCACTTTCTTTTAATTGAGCAAGTTCAATCAAAAGAAAACTACCAACTCTGGCACTGTTGAATTCTCAAGCTCATGTTATTAAAAAAACAAATGGACAGAGTAGATTCCAATTTCACACTATTCCTAATCTTTTTTTGTATTCTGACCGGTCGTACCTAAACTTACTTTTATCAATCTTATTTTAGTAACACTAACTATTGATTTTTCATTATTAAGTCGGCTGTCCAAGAAGAGCAAGCCGAGGAGGTTCGTGCACAATTGGCTAAGATAGGCTCAGCGGCTGTCGCCGAACCGAGTGCCATGGAAAGGTGCCTCACCGCTCTAAGTGTGGTAGAAGGCAGTACCTCCCCGCCGCGCCCTCCCACTCCACCTATGACCACAGACGTTCTTTCTTACGATGACACACTGCGGGTCTCTCGAGCCAGGTACCTACTCAACTACATGTAATTAATATTGGTTAACACAATGACAGTTGTCAATCACGTAGATTGTGTTTTTTTTTTAATGTATTTGCTTTAGTTACGTATAGGTTATAATAATTATAAAAAAATAAGAACAATGTAACATCTTAAATCGCATTTGCTGTACTGTCTACGTCAGCTGCTAGAATGACAATCATACCATATGCGTTTAAATGATGCATGCTGAGTCTCTATGCTCTACACACACATAGGCATCGGTAAATGTAAGATTGTCACCCTAGTTTGCACTGAATTACATAGATATCAGACTCTCTATTCATTTATCTTTAACCAGTGATTTCCTGTTCGTAAGTTATAATATCGACCGTGAACAACATTTTTTGTCCAGTTCGGAAATCCCCTTGGATGTGATTAAAGATAACAAATTTTCTTTAATTCTACAGATATTATGGTATAAATACTAACTATAGACAGGTGAGTTGATGATCCTATCCTTTTTATTGTTTAGCAAACCAACTTGTGACAACATCATCCCGCTGAAGGGTATTCTGAAATCGGGTGCTGCCAGGGATGACCACCAAAAAGTGGTATGCTTCAGTGGTCCTGCAGCAGACGAACACCGTGAGCTAACTAAGCCCAAAATATCATATCCTCCTGGACAGCAGCCGCACTACGATGACGACCCAGACTTCTGCGCACAACTTAAGGATGAGGTAAGAGGAACTTGGAACTAATAAAACGTAAATAATTATCTTCTCATTTAATTCTTTACTAACTATAACCTTAGTAAAGAATTAATCAAGAAGTAATAATAATATTAATATTCTACCACATTCACACAACGCAATCTAGTCCCAAACTAAGCAGACGTTGTACTATGGGTACTAGACAACTGATATAAATACATACATACATAACACACAGACCAAATCAAACTTACAAGTTCATGCACACAAATGACTTGATCTGGAATCGAACCCGCGACCTTTGGAATAGCAGTCTGTTACACAAACCACTACGCCCGCCGGTCGTCGACGTTCTACAGTCGAAGTTCTACAGTTTCAGCAGTTTACCTGTAATTTTAAAGACATTTACCAATTTTAACCCGTATTGAGTGCCACATAGTTGTAAGTGTTATAAGTGTGAGTTGGTATTATCATGGGAGTTGTTTTCTCTTAATTTTCAACAAAAAAATGTATATTTAAAACATTTAAATGCATTTTATTTATTATTGTGATATTTAAAATACTTTAATGAAATCAATTTTTTCAAACCATATAACTTCAAGGAAATCATCATCATCAGATCACATCAACATGCTTTAATAGTCCACTGCTGGACAGAAGTCTCTCCTTAGAAAGGAAGTTTTGGCCCGCTGGCCAGACGGGTTGGTATAGGGTTTGTGTCAAATTTTCATTCACTTTGCAGCGTGGTTGTTCTGCGTAGTTTGCTCCCTTATTCGGCTCTCACAACATCCACGGTATGAAAGGGGTGCTGATACTTGTGAGAAAGTTGTTCTTAATACGTCGCCACAAGGAAGAATTAACGCTTTCTACCAAATAATTTACACCCATTTTACAGCTAACTTCTGAAAGTATATGGTAAATGCTGAAGTAAGTTCAGTAGTTGATTGTCAAGTCAAATCGGTTGCTCTTTTTTAAAACTAAATGTCAAAACTGTATAATATAGCAAAATTGACTGACTATGACGTTGACCATTGTCAAATCATTTACTTTTGATGTTTAGATTTATATTTAAATATAAATACTCAGTAATAAGTATGATTTTTTTCCAAATCTAATATAGGAAGATTTATTTCACGAAGACTATGAAATAATACATTTTAAACATAGACAACTACCCAATTTTTATGTATTATACATATTTGACTGTCATTGTCCGATCTTTTTTTTGTTTACGTGCGCCTATTAGATTAGCATAGTCATTCGGTTCATCCAAAAATTAAAAATATTATGGTCTGCGATACGACTATTAAAAGGACTTAACAAAAGAAATCGAACGATGATAGTAAAACGTGTATAATACATAAAAATTGGGTAATACACATTTCACTGTCATCGTCCGATCCACTTTTTTGTTTACGTGCGCTTACTAGATTAGCGTAGTCATTCGGTTCATCCAAAAATAAAAATATTATGGTCTGCGATACAACTATTAAAAGGAGTTAACAACAACATAATAATGTAATTTTATCTTGTGTCCTGTTATTATATCACAATAGGCAATTATGCTTGCTACGCTCGCCGGAAGTTAGCTGACCTTGTATCGGCAAAATGATTTTGGTGATAAAAGGCCTCTAAAATAGTTTTGGTCGGTTTTGGATGCATAAACATAATAATTTGTTGTTGAATTCAGCAGAGTATAAATGACATATATGTACAATAGGCGGTCTTACGACTAAGAGAGATGATAAATATTTTTACGAGTATAAATAAGCCTCTAGAGTCAATATAATCGATAATAGATAAAATAAATACTTAGGTAAAAACAAGAAACGAAATACGAGGGCGGGTCAATAAGTCCGTGACTTTTGGAATAAAACACAGTTTTTTTTTTATTTAATTTTTTTCAACGTAGTCTCCCTTGAGCTCTATACACTTTGTCCAACGCTTCTCCAATTTTTTTATCCCTTCCAAAAAAAATGATTTGTCGAGGTCCTCAAAATAGGCCTTTGTTTGCGAGATGACTTCATCATTGGAGTCAAATCTTTTTCCACCAAGCCATTTCTTCAGGTTTGGGAACAAGAAGTAGTCACTCGGAGCCAAATCTGGAGAATGGGGCGGATGAGGGAGCAATTCATAGCCCAATTCATGGATTTTTGCCATGGCAACTGCACATGTGTGCACCCTTGCATTGTCTTGGTGGAAAAGAACTTTTTTCTTGGCCAAATGAAGTCGGTTTTTTTTCAAATCGTCATTGAATCGGTCCAATAAGTTGGCATAATGTTCCCCATTGATTGTTCTTCCCTTTTGAAGGTAGTCAATGTGGATCATCCCGCGTGCATCCCAAAAGAGAGTCGCCATAACTTTATTGGCTGACAAATCCACCTTGGCCTTCTTTGGCGCCGATTCACCATTAGAAACCCACTGATTTGACTGTTGTTTGGTCTCTGGTGTGTTGTGATGGATCCATGTTTCGTCCACGGTTACAAAACGGCGCAAAAACTCCTCCATATTGCGATTAAACAACGCCAAACCTTCCTGTGAAGTTGTTACACGATTGCGTTTGTGGTCGACTGTCAGCAATCGCGGCACCCATCTTGCGGAAAGCTTTCTCATGCCCAAGTGATCATTCAAAATTGAAACCACTGAGCCATGCGAGATCCCTACGGCTTCCACAATCTCTTGCACTTTCAATCTTCGGTCGGCCAACACCATATCGTGAATTTTTTCGATTGGTGAAGAGACCTCAACTGGGCGTCCAGGACGTTCGGCATCTTCAGTGCTTGTACTGCCACAACGAAATTCAGTAAACCACTTTTTTACCATTGAAATCGATGGTGCAGAGTCCTCATAGTATTTATCAAGCTTAGCCTTGGTCTCGGTAATGGTTTTTTAGCAAAAAATAATGCATAATAAGCACACGAAATTCACTTTTTTCCATTTTTTCCTCAAATTACTGGGTAGTCTGATAAAGATAGCTGTTAAACACAAACTAACTGACGCAGCAAGTTCAAATTTTGACAGGAGTCAACTGACAGATGCCTGTTGACAGGAGTAGTGTTGCTTTTTTAGTAAAGAGGTCAGAAATTCAAAAAGTCACGGACTTATTGACCCGCCCTCGTAGCAAGAACATTGGACAAAACTTTCTGATTTCAGATTTGTTTTCCTATATAACGAAACACAGATAGATAGGTACAGTCAGCATCAAAGTCTGCAAAGTGCTCAAAATTGTCTAAAGAACAGAAATTTGTAACACATTAATGTTTTTAGCTTTCAGTGTGATCGATATTATGTTAGTAACTAAGTATTCTATATTATGATGATTTGAGCCTAAGCTACTTAGTGTTTGTAAGTCTTTCTACTAAATTTCAATTACCTCCCTTTCTTACATACCTATACTTTCAATATACCTTCTCCTAATTTTCCCATTTGATTACTAGGTACTAGTGTACCTACCTCTTGGTTGATAGGTATGGTCATCAGTGTACTGTGTATCTTTACATAGTTCCCGTATAAAATAAAGCTATCGCTTTTTGTGTTGTACGCTTAGATCTTTTAAACTGAGCAACGAGATTTAATGTGGTTTTGTCCAATAGAGAGAGTGATTCAAGAGGAAGGTTTATATGTATGTTATAAAACATATTATAGTAGAGAAAATCCGAGATCCTTAAAGATTTGTTTTAAAAAACTTGATTTTGCGCACTTACCTTGCAAACGCTGGCTAATCTTTACGAGATAGACCAAAATTATTCACTACGGAATTGCATATCTTAAAAAGATCGAAAATTAAAAAAAGGAATAGAATATGTCTATCTCCCAAGGATAACCCACAGCAACCATTTTTATCTTTTAAATGTTACAAAAAAATATGGGTTATTTACGAATCTGCTTTGAACAATACATTATTATTCCTTATCCAATCAAATACGTTAGATACGTTGTGCATTTTATGTACATTAAAATTGGTCTTAATAGAATATCATTAAAATTAATATTTTAGAACACACTAGAGAATTATATACCCATTCAATATTTTTTATATTAAGGAGGACATAGCACGCGCAGGTCGCCGCGCCCGCGATGAGTGCGCTTTCGAAGTTATCCCAGGAGCCCAACAGGTTACACCTGTTGGCGAAGAAAAAGTTGAAAATAAGCTGCCTGGTTATCTCGGCACTTTTGACGTGGACTGTAAAGAGGTAAGATAGAGGTTTTATTGTTTGAGCTTAGTCACCGGTAGATCGCGCCTGCAACGATCTTGTCAAAAGACTATTGTAGTCGCTTGATAAGGTTCCATACTTAAGACTTCAATACTCGCCATCAACAAAGCAATGAAACTTGAATAGGTCTGTTTGGATTAAACATTTAGGTATAAAAATAGCTTAGTTAAATAATTTAAACAACTTCAACTTTGTGACTGTGTACTGACAATATGTTGAATTTTATTTTTGAGAAAAGTGTGAGAAAAACATAACTCAGTCACTTTTTGATTCAATTTTAGCATTCGTTTAGATTAGTTTCTAAAGTATTTCGATTGACTTTGGTCGGTTGGTAGCCACGTAAATTAAAACAAAATGTATATTTTACGTAAACACTCGTTGGTCCATCGTTGACACTTTATTTAAAAAACCCACTAAAGTAAACTTCCTAAACTTATTCCATTGTTCGTTTTCCTGTTAGGAGTTTAATTTCAAATACTAATTAATAGCACATTAACGTAGCCACTTTAGCTCACGATGATCCAGGAAACCCTAAGATAATTACTGTGATATGGTTCGTATGGCAGCTTGTATATGCCGTTTTATTTTATCGCCACTTCGGTCACCTACTTAATGAACGGATGAATCGGAATTTAAACCTTCATCCTCTAAAAATAACCCAGCTCATGGTCCATAAAATTGGTACTACGAGCTTTTTATGATCTGAAGAAATTGACTTGTAAAAAGGCTCTTACGTGTATATTATGCCCTTTTTTGTCAGAGAATTAAGTAGGTAATAGAGGATTATGTGATAATGAGATAACTAAAAATTTCAGTTAGCGATAGCTGTTTCTACACTAAAATACTTATAAAACTATTCCTTTTTAAACTATTAGTATTTCTAACTAGTCCATATTTACCAGCAGTACATAAATCTTTACAATCAAAATATACAACTAGAGAGGCACAAGTCGATAAAATTCTTTACGGGAGACAATGTATTGGGTAGGTACAGCCTGTTATTTATTTAATTTTTTTATGTTAGAGGGCCAGACGAGCAGACGGGTCACCTGATGGAAAGTGACCATCGCCGCCCATGAACGTCTGCAACTCAGGAGTCAAAAACGCGTTGCCGGCCTTTTAGGAAGGAGTACGCAAAGATCAACAAAGATCAACGTACCGACATTTGAAAAATGTTTCTTTTAAACCAAACTTTATAAATTAAAATCGATGTTTGTTTATTCATATTTTATGCGTTGCTGTAACTTTCATTCGATCATCATAAAAAAATTATACACGTTGCCAAGAATACAGCGAAGAACATAAGGTTATTTTTCATACAATAAAAAAGTATAAATTAAAAAGAAACAAGGATGGAAATATTACTTTTACGCGTGGCCGTATGAGTAGGCTATGCGTACAGCCAGTACATAAATTAAACCACGTCAGACAACCTACCACATAAATTAAACCAGATTAATATTAGCCTGATTTTACCCAAACAGGCATATTTATCCATTATATTTGTAGATTCCAGACTACATGCGGATGCCTCCCGACGCCTTCGAACGCGTGAAGAACTTACGTCGTGAAGTTCCCGAAATATCACCAGCGGCGGTTCGTGTAGCTGACTATCCTCACCTTCCGCCGCCTCCTCTCGGCGAATGCGTTAATCCTCCACCCGAAGCAACTGGGCCTTGTGCGCCAAAGAAAGAGGAAGATGTGTCCTTTGCTTGTCCTCATGTAGAACCGCAAAAACCTTGCTGCGATCCTTTTCAACGAGACACAGAACCGAGTCCTTGTTGAAACACTGTCATAATAGCTATTTCGACTAATTGATAGTATTATGTTTAGTAGGTAGGTACCTATTATATACCTCTTGTTTTATACGATTATTGATTAGAATAAATTATTTGTAATACTTACCACGATTGTAAAATGTGTAACTTGTTTTGATGTAATTTACTTTAGAATATATTAATAATGCTCAAAATATTGATATTTATAATGAAACTGAAATGATCAATTTTGAATCCTCTGGTTATGATTATTGTGGAAGCAGCTTATAAAAATTGTACCCGGAGCCATAGTAACAGGATTAAAATTAATAGGGAGTTGGCTTTTTAACAAAAACAATATTAAATATTTAGCGTCTTACACTAAAATATATTTTGTATGATCGGAGCAATTTAAAATTGGTTATTTTTTAGTTATTATTTAAAAACCTATAGCAAGGTTTCAAATAAGAAGCGCCAGTAAAAAAAATATGTTTATTTCCACCACAAACAGCTTATAAAGAAATCATTAATAAAATAACGAAATGTATAACTTCTATAATTTTATTATTATATTTAGTTTCATATATAGTTTACCCTACACAACATTTTTGTTTTATTTTACATACAATATATTGGATTTACTTAACAGTCGAAACTATTATTCTTCGTTTTGTAGGCAAAACGTACCTAGGTATGTAACATAAAACCTACTTTATTACAAACAAATATTGATAATCATATAATCAAGAGTTTTTCTATATGTTTTTAAAATACTTTGAGCTATCATTCGTTAAAGTTTGTTCCCATATCCGAGTCGAATGTGCAGCATCAGTTATGAGTGAACATCACTATACATAGGTAGACAACTTATCATACTTATTAAAATGTAGGTACATGAACTTAAGATGTCTACTTATAAGATTATAAAAATATAAGTTTGTAGAAAAAATATTTTCTTGTTTCATACTTACCAGCACGTGGTTTCACCTAAACATGACTATAAAACATAACATAATTTTGTTTTTATTATTATTTCAAGGGATTAAAGGTCCACTCTCAGTTCAATGAAGACTTTGCTCTTCTAAAACTGTAAATACTACAAAATATAGAGTGAATACTAAATGAATACAAATAACAAATTATTGATAGCACTGTTGAATAAATAAATAAAATATTTAAAATTTAAATTTAAAATATTTAATGTGTTTTTATCGCATCTATCCGCGTGTATGTCGGTAATCGCGGTAAAAAGTAGCCTATGTTACTTGCTGATAATGCAGCTTTCGATTTATGTTTTTTTTATCGGTTTCGTAGTTTAAGCGTGAAAGCGTAACAAACTCACCTTCACATTTATAACTAATATAAGTATGGCTAATTAGGGCAAAATAACATTACCTCAGCTTCCGCCGTAATCTGAGCAGAATAAAATATTATAATATTTTTCAGTACCAATAATGGTTCACTATATAAAAAAGTAACAACCACGGGGCAACAACCCTGAACGCCGGTCTTTGAAGATGCTTCATAGCTTTTCTTCCAGAGAAATTTTGTACGTGAGGACACAAACTAGCTGGCTCGACCGGAGATATATGAGGTCCTCACAAAAAACCACTGTTAAGCTAGTCACTCTTATCAACGACACATTAATTTTTAACGTCGGTAGTAAGTAATTATCATTGACCGAGAGGCGATTACATAATTTCCAGGGCATCTGTTATATTGATGAAAACCATCAGGAATCATGGTATTCACGTTAGTAATAAGCGCCATGATTGCCTGGATTCCGTATGACCCCAGGAGTGGGGGAAGTAATTTTTTATTGCAAAATTCACACTTACTTGGTCCATAAATTGTAGTGATCAAACCTATGTCAAATTGTGCCTGAATGTTGTGAAAAATGATTGCCTGAATGAAAAATGACCAAAGTTGAGGCAATCACGGGTTTTATCTACAAGTTATAGTTAAACCGCCGTAAGCTTGGCCCTCCTGATGGTTTGCGGGACGCGGGGCGGGTGCTGCGCTCGGCTATACGTGACACGATGTACTAACTCGATATCTTCAGATTTATTTGTTTAAGATTTAATCTACACACGATGTAATAAAAATCGAATTTATTTAAATGTATTATAATATCAGTGTATTGTAAGTTTTTATGATTAATTGTAAAATTTAATACTGTAAAATAATTTTAATAAAATCACCTTATCTTCATCATGTAAATTATATTCAGATACAATTTAAAAATTAAGTAAAATAAAAAATATTCTTTATTAGAACTTTAACAGTAGAACCTCTGTAAGCCGAACTTCAAGTTTTTAAATCTTTTTGTGACGCAGAGTCGGCAGATTATCCGTGTTGCAAAATAATACCAAGTGTAGCAGTCTTAAGAAAAATAACACGTACAGCCATGCTTTCACGTCAGTCACTGCCGGCGGACAGCGACGCACTAGCTAATTGGTTGAATGCACCCCCGCCCCGCGTCCCCCAAACCATCAGGAGGGCCAAGCTTACGGCGGTTTAACTATAAGTAATTACAAAGAAAAAATATTGCTCTCCAAAAATTTTGTACGTGGGTAAAATGTCTATTGGATTTCAATTACAGATACAATACATTGAGTAAAATAATTTCTACTTAAGAATAATACTTAAGAAATAAGGTTATAAAGTAGGGTTATAATGATTTTGATCACAAGCAATTATTCAATCATAGATTTATCATTGATGCCCTCTTAAATCTGAGTACGGCCCATCATCATTAACAATATCAGTAACGTTAAACGGTATTAAGTCTCCCTCGTGCCATAAGGGAACGATTTTATCCCTTTTAGCAATCCAACCACATTGACCCCATGCAATTTTATGCACTGTTTTTCAGTAGCATTCTGCCACATACTATTTACATAAATAGTTCTCGTACGGGTCATACGGAATCCAGGCAATCGTGGCGCTTATTCTTTCCTAACATGAACACCAACATTCCTGATAGTTTCATCAATATCACAGATATCCTGAAAATTTTGCGGCCGCCTCTCGGTCCATCAGGTATCCATTCTCTAAATTATAATATCAAAAAACAGTACTTACCATACCTGTAATGAACTTCGTTGACAACACATGTTGCATCATAGGAGATATCTCTAATACGTACTTTATAATACGTCTTTATTAAATAAAACTAAAGTTATAATACCAAGGTGACGTACTTCATAGCGCGAAGTCATCGCAAATTATACAAACATGAGATAGGTGCTTAGCAGATACACTACAAAGTGTATGTAACCTCTCACCAATGAGTTCACTTACATTTGTCGTGGAAACTGGTTTGTTCAAAGCACTTGCAATCGACTGGGTTACAGTTATTAATCGACGAAAAAATAACGGCAATTAGGTTTTTGCCCGCGACTCGGCCTGATTCATTTGTCTTTAGTTGTAGAACAAAGGTATCGATCGGCATTTAATATTTAAAATAATTCCATAACAGACAAATTTTTACTATATGTATTTATTTCCCGAAACAATACTTAATATTTTGTCTATACTAATGAACCACTGTAAAAAAATGTTATTGATTATATTTTCTTTTATTTTAAAAAATAAAACAAAAATAAGGTCTGTAGTACCCAAGCAGACTTTGTCATCCAAAAAAAAGAACAGTTTCAGGAGACGAACCATGATAAAGTCAGTCTTTCACAGTCACAGTTTTTCAAAACGCTTCAATAAAAGAATTACACTCTTTTGTTTTAATGTTTACTATTAATATTCCAGTTCATCGGTACGGCAATTCATCCCTAAATCATTTTACATATTCTAAGACGTGCCTCCTGTTGTTATAATTAACATGGGCACTCTATGCAATTGTAGGCACTTAAGTGTTCTATTAAAGACTGGTTTTATTTTTAGGCCAAAATTTTGTAACACAAATCAAGACGCACACAGGATATTTAGAAAAAAAAATTATAATAGCAAACTTGGTATTATAGCACATAAAATATATTTCCATAATATACATAAACACTTATCCACACAAATAAACATTATTTGATAATTAAATTGCAAGTACAATTTATTGTCAATTAGTTCGATAAGTAGGACCGCTGGTTCATGTGTCCATACAATTTTAAAAGCAGAAGTGGTTATGAGGCGAACAACTTCGCAACATTATAAAGTTCATAAGATGTGGTACAAAAAAAGATGGTGCTCTTGAAACAGAATTATTAAGAAATAAATATCCTCCTTTTTAAGGAGAGGCCTATATCCAGCAGTTGATTATTAAAGGCTGTTGATGTGATGTGATGATGATGTGAAATATCACACTAAATCAACAGTCTAACCGCAGTAAACTATTTGATAATAGCAAAATTAGGACGTCAAAACGTACACTACCTTCCCTATAGTGCGTACAATTTTGACCTTAAGTAAAAGGCACATTTCATAGAAAAATAACAAATCTAAACTTTTAAAGGCACCTCGACATTTGGACGTGAGTGGCGAACAATTATATTTTATTGTTTTTTTTTTATTTTATTTCGTTGGCCACATAATTCAAGAGTTTTTATGACAAACACGAAGTTTTCACTACAATGCTTCATGTATTTTATTAATTAGGATATAAAGTCTAATTTTACGTAATAAAGTTTCAAAGAATATAAATACATAAATAAAACATGTGAGAAAATCAACATTTATCTGTCGTCACGTCAAAATTGAAATGCCGCTTGGGTTTATAATGTCATATTTATCCTTTTTTGATAACGCGATATGCATAATAAAACTATGAAAGCATTCTGCTAAATAAAGATACATAATAACCAGTGACTCAGTAAGTTTCTCTTGGACACAGATCGAGGAATAGATACGGTTCCCAGCAAACGCATATTAGTCTACGTCAAATACATTACAACAAGAACGATCACAGCTAACGTCACGAACATCCCGCCGAACAAAACGTATTTATCCTGTGACACTCTTTTTTCTATAAGTGATATAGTTGCGTTTGACAACCCTAATGTATTCGCCAAATCTATGATTCTTCTGTGTGCTCCTTTTAATGTCTCTCGGTTATACTTCAACGTCTCCAGAATACTTGTACCTGAAATTAAAAAACAAGTAATTTAATTTTTATACTGTACATGATATTTTACTATGGCATATTTATTTCCTTATAGATAAAAGGAATGGCATAGGATGCTAATAAAGCTAGTGTCCTTGTATAAGGAGGTCATCGCTGTGCCCTACAGAGCTCGCATCTAAACATATAACTATATAAAACACTGTCTAAGAGCATGCACCAGACGCTTTTTTCCTTTTATATTTCAAAATTACGAAAGCATTATTTTATATAAGGTTTTTGTCTAACGTGTTAAAATTAAAAGAAGTTCTCAAACTTTTATTTAACTCTTAAATATTTTAGAAGAAAATAGTTGGTAATACTTACTAAATGATTTATTTAAATAAAAACCTTTATCGATAACTTTGGCCGCAGACCATTAAAAATAATAAAACCTGACTAAATTAATATATGACTTGTATAAAGACAATTTTACAAGAAATTTGGATTAGTAATACTACTGGCATGGGCGCTAGCTAGCGGACAGATATGTTGTGAATTATAAATCAGTAACCAGTTTTAATCACCTCACCTCATGTCTCTGGCTCACTTGGCTGAAGACAAGGCCACATAAATTACACACAAAAAAATAATACAATATTGTTATCTCTTCTATTGGATACTGTTGTTTTCATATAAACAATACATATTAGGGAGTGGACGTTTTATATTAAAAATTAGTAAATGTTTTGCAGTGTTGTTTAACAGTCGAGTGCCAGGAGGTGGAGTAATCACAATCTACGCTACATACTCTAAAATCTACCTTGTATTTTAAGTTTGCCTTGATACCGTGCGTACCGTGTCAGATGGCTTAGCCGTCAATGAATGTTGTTGTTTATAGGATTATCGATTAGTGGTAAAAGACTTTGTACCTGAGTGTGTCGTGCCGACCAGTATAAGCTGCATTCGATTCAAGATGTGGTAAGTAAATAGTGCTAAATTTTAAATCATCCACTTTACAACCCTTTATCATCACTATATTAAGTGTAGAACATCCCCTAAATAAGGAAACAAATAAAGCAGTTTTAGGTAAATACAGTTCAAGAGTTGCCTCACCCTACGTTTTCGGTCCTATTTCATAACTGAGGCTCAATCACTACGTTATATAATATCGATTGCATATAAGAATTAAGAATTTACTTATTTTATTAAAACACAACGCCTAATAATAGTTCTTGTGTTTATATTTCTTTCCGACGAACAAAATACACGTCTGGCGCCTGCAACGCCGCATAGCAAATCCTTTTAAAAACTATGTAGTTTTGACTTTTCTATCATTGTGAATGGCCTTACAGACATAGAGTAATAAAGTAGATACCGCATTCTTTTTACAATGTTTTTGTTGTACTTATAGTACTTATAAAAACAGCCAATATATCGGTTTCTTTAGAACGTTAAGTATTTTTAACAGTTACTTTCTTAGCTTTTATTCTTACAGAATTTACAGGGTTTACTTTCAATCTATGTTATATATTCCATAGTATTATGGATAATACTTGATGCTACGGTAGCATCAGAATTTCGAAGAATCACAAGATCGTATGTTTATAAATGTTGTTGGCGAAGGTCCTCCGCTGCACTTTGTGGTCCGTGGTCGCAGATATTGTAGGCCGCATACGTCATCTGTTCTGAGCATACCTAATATGCTCTCCCCGTTGGTTTACATGATTTCTTCTGTATCCTGATCCCGCATAGAAATCCCGAACGTAGCCCTTACGGTATCGACTCCGAACTTTTTTATCAAATCCTTCCTAAACGACCAGTTTTCACGACTCCTATGTCATTAGTGCACTAGTACATGGGTCACAACCTATTGTTTTTAGCCTGGCAGAGTTCTTTATGACGAAAAGATATCACAGTTTTCCAAACAATTTTCTTTAGATTCTTAAACATTTTATCAAATTTTGGCTTTCACAGTTTACATACGGTTAATATAAAACAAATTTATAACGCCATTACGTATTGAGGACTGATTTTTTATAGATTCGCAGTTGGATGCAGATACAAATCACGGCAAATTAATAAACTGATGTCATGGCCGTCTATAGGTTACTTTGTTGTGGGCATGTAAATTACCTTGTTTTATAGATAGATGCAAAATCGTTTATAGACAAAATAGCTTTTGTTGCGACTTCGCTCGCTTTATTGTTTTATCCTTCGACATCAGTACTAATTTTTAAGATTGAAAAATATTTTAATATTTAAAAATATCCTGCTTTGTGGAGTACTTAAAGCGTGAAAGTGTAACTAACAAACAAACTCACTTCCACATTTATAATATCAATTAGAAAAACTACAATAGCCGAATTCAATTTTTTTATTATTTTTAGTATTTAGATGTATAATTACACGACCAGCATGATAACCAACGTTGCTAACACGTTTACAAACACCAAATCAAACTATTACAGCATTGTTAATCGTTGTCATTTCATCATGTTACATCTTCCGTGACTCAGTTACAACACCAGATATTGAATGCTTTCAGAGATGCTTAGTACGTGTTTTAATGTATTATGAAAAAAAAACTACCTGCATCTTACAACCCATAAGTGCATAAAAACGGTATTTTTAACAGCGTTGTGTTGGAAATCCCAACATATTGTTATCATGATTGATAACAACATGTTGGGTTACCAGCGACTAGCGACGATATTACTTGCGACCAGAAAACGACAATATCCACTACATAAAAAGTTTTCTTAACATTTATTTACATTAGTTTCCGTTGGACGCCTGTTTAACTTAGTCTGACTTTCTTTTTTCACTAATGAACAGAACAAGAACTTACAAGAACTGTATTTAATATAACGGCAGAGAGAGATATTGAAGCATTTATTTCACCTATGTATAGATTAGAACTAATTGTTTCTATCATAATTTTAAAAACCATGTGACCCAGATCGCTAGCGCTTAAGCGTATCGGCAATTAAGGTATTATGTCATGCAGGTATGTACATACCAGCGGTCAAGGGCGGAGGCCTATTACCTACACCTCCAAGCCTTAAACAATCTGCATGGTTGTGTACAGATTTAAAATAATGTTTATTGACTATAGTTACAACCTGTACAAGTAATTAGCATCGTATATTAATGTGAATCAGTTTTTTTATTAAAAGAGTTATTATAATAGCCTGGGATTCTCAATAAAAAATGTTGTCGTTTGAAAGCATTTAGACAGCGCAAGTTATGAGTTACATTTTTTGCTAAACACGGTAGGATACTAATATAATGTTAGAGCTTTATGTTATCCACTTACAGTTTCTGAACGAAAACTGTAAAAAATATATTAAATAAAATATTATACATATTATTTTTGTACGTCAAATCACTTCGCCCAGGCGTTTTTCGATTAATAGCATCGTTGTCTTTTTTTAAAATGAGAGTGTAGACAAATCGCCAATTTTGTGTCATCGATAGGTAAACCTAATTTTATTTCAATAAAAAGTATTATGACGTTGTGACATTCGCGTCTTGAAATTAGCGAAACAAATCAACTGCGTCTTGAATTAAATACTGAGATTAACGACGTTATTAAATAGCAATTAAAGACGTTTCATAATTAGCATTTGTATTTTTCCACGTAATATATCCACGTGTTGATGTTATTTGTAACTTATAGTCACATAATCGTATAACATACTCATATTATACTTTTCCTAGTACTGACAATAAATCACTTTAAAGTCAAATAACATTACAAAGTATGTATTATATTAATAAACTATTCGTTACTCGAGTCTTGGACGTTTCACCACACAATCCTTGTATAGCGACCCTGTCAGGATCAGTTTTACATTTATAAAAATTTCATACTCTAGTAACTAAGACAATAGTAACAATTTGAACTTACAGCTATATTAGTACGTTTTATAATTTAAGATTACACTTATTGCCTCGCAGTCAATCTAAAATCGCAGAATTGGACAATCTAGTCCAATTCTGCGATGTGTAATGTAATCTAGCACCGCACCGTTTTTACATGACGGTATAAAAACAGTCAATGTGAGCTTCCCCAAACATCCCTGATGCGCTGCAAAAGCGTAACAATCCCACCAGCATTATTATTCTATATATTCTGGATGCGGAGAGCATTGTATGAATTTTGAGTGAAATGTGCCCCCAGGTTATACGTATAAAAGGAAGGAATGGAGGAAGTAAGCACGAAATAATATCTATTTTGCTTCTCTCGAGGCACGCGCAAACCTGCGGGCGATCATATTAACTCTCACAGACAATGCCCTCCGCTCCCTATCGATGTCATCATCGTCCCCGAGACTGGCAGTAAGTACGTGGCCTAGATATTTAAAGTGGTGTACCCAATGATATACAGGGTGTCCCAGAAAGACTAGATAATCCTGGAGCGCTAATAGTACAGCTATCTGGCGTACAAAAAAAAATTACCCAAAAAAAAAACAATTGGTGCCCAAATTATTAAGTTTTTTTTTAAAAAAATACTTTTTTGTTGTCCTTATTGTACTTACATGTACACCACGGCCACAAATTAATGAAATTTGTTGCGTTTTTGGCGTTATCTTATTCCTCACAGACAATGTTATTAGAAATGCAGTAAATAGTATGAGTAACTATTGTACTTTTTTGGAAAAAAAATATCAACTTAAAGTTTTAACATGAAATTTGATCAAAAAAAAAATTATGACAAAGTTTGAGAGCCTTTTGTAAAAAAAAAATGTATGAAAACCTAAGGGGCCAACTACTTAAAAAAAAAATGCGCAGTTAATGCAATTTACAAAATGGTATAATATATAATTTTATTTATTATACTCGAATGAGTTTATGTGGTATCATAAAGCTTGCGTACCGATTTTGTAAGGACAACAAAAAAGTATTTTTTTAAAAAACTTCATAATTTGGGCACCAATTGCTTTTTTTTTCGGGTATATTTTTTTGTACGCCAGATAGCTGTACTATTAAGCACTCCAGGATTATCCATTCTTTCTGGGACACCCTGTATAAATGTTCCTGCATGACGCGTCTATATTATAATGCAACACTCTGCAACGTTATATGGCATATTCCTCACAAGTTTTTATGAGCTCCTTAAGGCAACAGACAGATGCCCCTAGCATTACCATGTCATCAGCATAACTAATATTATTCAGACACACACTGTCTATGTGACAGCCGACCCGACGTGCTACTGAGCGCATCTATGAGGTCGTTTACATAAACATTAAAGAGGGTAGGCGAGGACAACCCTCCCTGTCTAACGCCACAATCCAAGCCATAACTTTTCGATATAGCTCACCAGGTATCATAGAAAATCAGATCAAAAGCTTTACAGAAGTTGAGAAAGCAGGCATAGTCGGGAGGTTTCCGCTTAGAGTAGTACTTCACTAAGTGTAGCGCTTTCGGTTGAAAGTCGCGGTTGAAAACCAAATTGATTTTCGACTTTCAAATTGTTTTTTATTCAGCTTAGACGTGAAAGGACATTTCAAGGCTGCGTTTTGAGAGGAAACTGCTAATGAACGCACCGTGCATTTTCGGTTTAAACGCTTTCCTAATAGTAACTTCGACTTGAAGAACGAACCACTTAGAAGACCGCCCATACAGGTGAATAACGCTGAATTGAAGGAGATGGTGGAAGCCGATCCGAGTCAAGCTACCAAGGAATTAGCAGCATGGTTTAACGTTACCCTACCTACAATATTGACTCATTTGCATTAAATCAATAAGATTAAAAAATATTAAAAATGGGTGCCTCATGATTTGACTGATCTGCAGAAAGAAATGCGTGTTTAAACTTGTGTTGCCTTGTTGAATCGGTACAGAAATGAAGGTATATTGGATCGCATTGTGACATGTGATGAAAAGTAGATTGTTTACGATAACCGTAAGCGAAAAATGCAATGGCTGGCGCCGCGGTCAAACGCCGCAACAGTGCCCTAAAGCAAAGCTTACCAATGTAAAGGTAATGGTAACTGTTTGGTTGTCTCTTCATGGTGTTATTCACTATAGCTTTCTCAGATATGGTCAGGCAATAACAGCAGATGTCTACTGTGACGAACTTCGAACAATGATGGCGAAACTGGCAGTGAAACAGCCCTGACTCGTGAATCGATCTTCACCATTATTGCTCCATGATAACGCAAGACCTCACACTGCACGAGAAACCGTTGTAAGTATACAGGAGCTGCAGTTAGAAACCATACGTCTTCCTCTGTACTCGCCAGACTTTACTCCAACGGACTACCATTTTTTTCGTGTATTGGAAAATTTTTACGTCATAAAAAGAAAGTTCCCAGGAGGCAGTACAAAATGCTTTTACAGTTTGTCGTATCTAGATCTCCAGAGTTCTATCGTAAATGCATAAACGAACTTCCATTTAGATGGCAGCAATGTATAGATTATGAGGGTAAATATTTTGATTAAATAAACTTTTTAGTAAAAATCGGGCATTTCATACTTTAACCCCTATTATTATAGTGTAAGATTGTTGATTAGTTCGGATTCCCCTCAGGACAAATATTGTGTCATGTGCACGATCATTTTTTCTGTATGGGTGTATGTAGTTGTAGGTACCTGTTTATCTATATATAATATGTATTTGTTTTAAGAAATATGTTTAGGTGTTATGTATCAGCAATCTGGTTACCATGGGACAGGATCACACAGCCAAGTGTAAGATGTGTCAAGTTAAAAGTTAAAATTGATAGGAATGAAAGTGTGATACTATTGTATTATTAACCACAACACTTTAAAGAAAAGTTATAGCAATTTCCAATTGTGAACTTTTCCTCTTCATTTTGTTTCAGTACATTAGTTGCAGAATACAACACGTTAACAACTTTTATTTGTAAATGAAACTTTCTGACTAAATGTGAAACTATGCAAAAACAAAAAAATAATACTTTAAATGAGCAAAACACTTCTAACCTGCATATGACCTATTGTACATCATAATATTGTTCTACCTTAAGTAATTGTATTTTTCTCGAGTTCTCAACAATAAAAACCTACATTTAAATTAATTTAAGAAATGCATTTTGGCAGATGAAACTAACGTTTGTGACTAGAGAACAGGGCCGCCGCTAGCTGCTTGACCAAATTTTTTCGCTGCGGAAATCGCCCTTCAGGTTTTTATGTCTGATCTAGTTCTTTCAAATCATATTACTTTATTTAGATACAATTATACCGCGGCACGTCGTAGCATGCCGTGGTACGCCGCAGCATGGCGTGTCATGCGGTTTTATACATAGGTCACAGGATTATGACCCGGGATCAAGGGCGAGAGCGTTTGGGCCCCGGTAATCTCACGCACTCGCAACAACAACTAAAGAATTTCTTAACACTGGTTTTCTGTGGCCGCGGTATCATTACGTATCCTATCGGTATCTCCGGTATCAAATCGTGCCACCACATCGGCCTATTTGTGCCCCGAAGATGGCTCTCCCACAGGTTTTTTCTTCAACGACACCTTGCCGCGACGTCAGTCAGTACGCCACGCCGCATGCGATATATTTCAGTTTAAATTAGTAAATAAAATTTAAGTAATTTAAATTATGGCGTGATTCTTCATTTCTAACTTGAGACGTACCAAAACAGATACGATCTTTCTTTCTTTTGTGTTGTTACATTTTATTCATTTAAGTATTTATTCATTGAGACTACCTGCAAAAATTTTGCATAAAGCGGACTTAATGCCACAGGCATTTTCTTCCAATCAAACCTTTGGGTGTTGCAAAGCTGTGTGTGGCAGGTGTATATTTGGGACAGGTGAGGATGACATTAAATTAAAGAATGTTACAAAAGGAGAAAATCCCCTACAGATATATAGGTACCAGGTATATAGACATATAGTTTATGCATATAAATATCATAATAAATATCAAAATATAATATGTATAATACATAAATAATAAATCCGTCAACAAGTCTCTATAGAGCGGATATGTGACCATACTTTCGCAGGTTGAATATGAATCGAATGCAATTGTTGAGAAGTCGGTCCAATTTATTGAGCAGATCTGCATTCAAGTCCAGATAACACACATCACCATAGTCGATAAACCATAATCCATAGTCGGGAAAAATTAAACACTGCACAAGCATTGTCTTTGTTTTTATTGGGAGGAAATTTTTAAGGCGCTATATTCCTCGTAAAATAGTCGTAACCTTCTGACTGACAGTAGTTACTTGAGTTTGCCAGCTCAGTCGCATCGAGGTGCAGACCGAGATCCTTGACAAATGTCCAAATTTTCTACTCTTGCATGTGAATATATCTGCAATTTATCTGCATACAAGTGAGTGTAGTGAGAGAGTTCATGGGTTGAGATCGATAAATAAAGAAAAGAGAAGAATAGAGAGAGAGAGAAGAGGAGAAAGAATACCGTCTTGTGGAACACCAGAGTCGAGTTCGACCCACATCGATGAAGATTCATAGGTTCGGACGGACTGCATGCGTCCTCGAAGATAAGACGAACCATTCCAGTGCATCGTCGAAGATTATAAAGTGGGTAAGTATTGGTAGTGGGATATCGAGACTCACAGTATTGAAGCCGTTGGAGAAGTCGCCTTTGTTAGGTCGAATATGAGTCTCTAGCTCATTTATTGGTATTCGCAAATTCTCAATATACATTTTGAGTTTGCATTCTTAGCTTTATTTTTGGAACACAGCACATAATTCTTAAAAAGAAATGAGGCTAAATGAAAGAACGAATACCGATGTTTCAGTCGTTAATAATCATAAAATAATATCATTTGTAATCTGAATCGATTATTCTCACTATCCATTGGTAGACACCCCAACCCTAAATAACAACTGTCAAATACACCTTTTAAAATAATATGTCCTAGGTATGAAGGGTAGATTCAAAGAGAACCATATCTGTGTATGAAATGTGTCTGTATTAACAATAAATTTGCTTAAATAATAATTAGACACAGCATACTAGACTGTGAAAATAGTCAGTGCGTTTTCCAGACAATAAATAAACGTGTTATAACTTTCAGACAATAAAAGTATTATAATATTTTAACTCAGCACACTGCACTACGTCTACAACAGCTATGTTAATAGCATATTTTTTGGTGCGCCAGCGACCTCTATTTTCAGTATACAGCTGGAGACTTTTTCAACGCATATGGGGTATAAGATGATTCTCCTTGCCTCTACACTATAGTAAGAATGAGGTTTTGAATAAGGTGCATGCAGCTAACACCCTCTAATATCCAGAGAAAATTACAAAGTAGTTGTAAGAACTTTGTACCAGAATTATTAGTGTTTCTTATAGCATTCTATGTTATACTATCCATATTTGTTTGTAATATTGCCAATCCTTTAAATCTGTATATAAAGAATAAACTGTTATAATAAATATACAACATTGTACAGTATTGCATTATAACATTATTGAACATAAATATTAAAACAAAATTGTTTTTTCTTATGCTTCAGTATGTATTTTTTTTTACAAAATCCTATTTTAGACCATCAGAGATTTATTAGTAATTTTATCTTATGAAACGGTTGAACCGAAAAAAAAATCTGTGTCACAACACCTTAGATCTTTACCAATATTATGATAGTAAACTTAGGAAAGTAAAGCTTAAACTGTACCTACCTGTGTGTATCATCTCATCAACATTTCTGTGTGAATTCTGCAAAGAGACTTGCTCCTGGCCTATGTAGTCCACATTTATGGCAGTGTGGTCATGGCCAAATCTACGACTCAGCAATTGATCTCTGTCATAGAGCTCCTGCTCCCGTCTTTGCCTCTTAGTTTGACTATTTGCGAGTGATGCCTGGAGATTTTGTTTAAAGATTAGTTAAATATATAATAACTATACATAAGGGAGTAGGACTGTGATAAATTGGATGCATATGTCTGAAGGCCAATTAACTTTTACAATATTTTCAAACTGAATGATTATGTTGTAATTTTGAGCAACAATTTAATATGAAGAATTAGTAAAAACAGTTTACACATCTTAAGTTGGAATGCACATTACCTGGATATGTCGATTATCATACTTCAGTTGGTCAACCCGCATTTTTGCCATGGGCCTCTGGTTTACTGGTGTTTTATATACATAAATATCCAACTTCTCGCAATTTCTGAAATTGATAAGTCGCTAATTAGTAACACGTAAGTCAATGAAGAAGAATTTTAAGGTTTACAGTTTATTATCTTTAAGATAAGTTACTTTCAACCTTATAAATAGTTTGTGTTACTATTAGAAACATTCGAAACTAAAAGGGTAAATGTTTTTAATTAACTGAATATAAGAGCCAAAACTTACGCACTAATTGCATTAATTTTAGATTGAATAGCATTTTCTATGTCTTTGAAATTGGATGGATCTCTCTCCAATTTTTGAAACAGTTCTGTTGTCTCTTGGATGAGCTGATTTGTCTGATGATATAATGTTTCCATTTCTATTCAATTTTGTTGTTTAACACTAAAAAGGTATATTTTAATTAAACCAAATATAAAAATACATTACAAGTACAGAACAGTTGAATTTCTGTCGATCTAGTGATGGACTGTAATTATTTTCATAGCTGTCAACTGTTTAGTACGTTTCAATTAATGTTTTTAGTTTTTAGTAAATCAGTTCATTTATTTCCTACTCCTTTTTTAAGTAACCAAAACATTGGTCATTTTTATTTCGAAAAGAAAAAAGTATCCCATAGCCACTCAATTGTTCAAAATATGACATTATTTTAATTAAACGTAACGTTAAAAGCAATATGTATCAATGTTTTCTGTGAATGCTCCTTAAGAATGTTTACTTACCGTTTTATTGAAAATTCTGTTTCTGTTGTTTATTAAATAACTGGTTTATTTAGAATAGACTATTCACGATATAAATAAATTTTTTAAATGGAAGTAACCAACATTTTTGATAAAAAGACTGATTATAAATATATAAATGAAATTGAAAATTTTATATTAGAAATTAATAATATGTAAAAATATTTCGGGCATCTGTCACACAAGGCTATTTAGTTTCAAACTAAGCAGAGCTTGTACTATGAAAGCTAGACTGACCAAAAGAATACTAATGTACTTTTTTGTAAATACGTATATATTATACATAGAAAACACACAAACTTTGAACAAATAAATATTTGAAGATCATACAATCATTTCAAATATTTTTCTTGCATTTATTTTCTTTTAGAGCTATTACTAAGTAGAAAAATATTTTGTGTTAACAATTCTCTGTATTTTAGTCGAGTCGTTGCAAGTTTAGTATTAGTCTACTTTCCCATATGTGCATCACTATACACAATACTTTATTGTCAATTTTGACGTGGCCGTTTTCTCTCTGTACGTTCGGAATCATAGATAGATATTAATGACGTAAATAGGTTTTTAAATAAATCTCAGTTAATATTTTATAATTTTAAGTTATAATAAATAACTTATTGAAATCAACTTTTATTGATTTTTTGGGTGAAAAATAAGTTTTTTTACGGGAACATTACAAGTTTCTGAACTCAATTTAAAAATCTAAACAAACGTCAAAGTTATTTGTCATACTATCAAGCAATAGGTTCCGTGAACAATATAACACTTTCCCTTTTGTGACAATTTTTTATATATTTGTGGATGTAAAGTGTTATCTAGTGTCTTTTAGTGAGTTGTTAACAATTTAAATACCTTACAACGATGGGTGACGCGTGTCAAGCTTGTCTCACGAGGGTGCCCTATGCCACTCTTATTGCGACAATAATGTGTTGTTTGGGCGTTGGTGTTTTCTGTGGCACTATGTACCGGGGTTCCGCTCTTTCTATATTGATGTTTGATCAAGTATTTCATTTCCGTTTAATGTGGATTGAAGCATTGCAAATGATCTTTATTGTAGGCAGCGCCTGTATGGCGGCTCTTGGATTCATGCTGTTGTGTTTGGGCTGTTTGACAACAGGTGCTACTAGACAAAAAGTATACCGAGCTTGGAGAGCTCGTGTTGGAGGAAGGATATCCTGTGCCGTTTTTATGATCATTACTTACATCTTGACCTTTGTATGGATCATATTACTGGGTTTTCTAGTTATAACGACTTTCTTATTTACGATATTTTGGAAATTATGTTCGAATCCGAGAAACATTGAACTCACAACATGCATAGACTTCACACAATTTGATTTTATGTTCCCATCATCTGTTAGACAAGAAGATATGAAAATTTGCGAAGCCCATAAAGTCAAACTGTTCTGCAAAGATTATGTTGAAAAGGCAGAGTTTATGTTTATATTAGCAATGGTGGCCTGCATACTTGTGATATTGAGTTTGGTACATCATCTGATGTGTTTATCTGCAAATTATGCCCACATTAGGGATCATGAGAAGTTTCAAGAACTGCAGGAGCTGCAGTACCTAACTAACCCTGATATGCATGCCTCTAAAGACCGCTTCTAGTATATGGCCCGCGCACCATTACTGCGCTCATTGGAAGCTACAACTAAGATGTGACAATGTTAAACAATTGACTGTAGAAATTTTTGGTGTTCACTGATGTATTGATTACAAAAAAAAACAAAAGACTGACTTTCAGTGAAATTTTGCAACTAAACCTGGTGTTTCTAAAAGACTCGTGTACACTGCATTTAACATATCTCGTGTTTTTTAATTAGAGAAATTCTGTCCAAACATTCTATCATTCCTTTACCTCTTAGGTGTTATCAGTTAAGTTAATGAAAGATAAACCATCCCCTATGCTAAGTATTACTGTGACTTGTTTCATTGACATGTATTACTAACATACTAATTGTATAAATTTAATGATTATTATGACTTTTGTTATAGATGTTTAAAATTAACATTATTATTTGTAACACCTAGATGGATATTAACTGTCTGTAATTTAAATGTTCACCTGCTGCTTTACTTACTTAATATTCACCAATATTTAAATAATTCAAGTCATAATTGGCACATCTAATGGCTTTTACATTTTCTGCCATATGTACTAAACAAAAGGATCGAGAAAGAATCTGCTTTAAAACAGTTCACTGATCACCAATAATTTTATTGCTTGTATTTGCATATTTTGGCATTAAGTGTGTTGCTGCCACTAGCACAAATCTATTTGTAGAGCAGGCAAAAACTTTATACTTAATTCTTTAGGTAAATTGACTAATGTGTTTGTTGTTTCTCCATTTTACCTAAAAAATTGTTACTTTGCTTGTGATTTAAAAAAAATATGCATTTAGTAATTATAAAGCAACTTAATATTTTATACAATATATTTATAGGCTTATAAATTAATTACCACAATATTTTTGTAATACATCTTTATTGTAAGCACAAAACATAAACATTTGAACATTAAATGTATAAAGCCTAGTGTCACAATAATACAAACAGTATTAACATTACACTGGTGAAAACTGCCTTTTAAAAATTTTGAAAATTAAAATCATCAAAGAATAGTACAATGAATTATTTACTAATATATATCAATGAATGATTGCATGTTAAAATATACATGTAAGGAGCCATAAGTTGTTCATTTAATTAAATCAAGAGAAATAGATGTAAATAACTTTAGTAGACTGAATTTTTTAACACTTACCAATAAATTTGTAAGTTAGGTCCATTAGCTTTAGGCTTACAATTATTTGTGCATACATTTAAAAGCTTGCTAAATTTAATGATTCAATGTCTAAAATGAATCATTCTGTGTAATCAGAAATGAAAATTGTGTAACACCTTGTATCAATTTTATGTTGGACCTGACTGTATGACTACGAATAGACCACCTGTACAAATGAATTAATTATTATTATTATTCCGGATAAAATTTTATTTGATTTATGTCTTTAACTTTAAAATATTTTATTAGGTATATTTTATTGTTTTTTATCAATAAGAGTGACAAAATGAGACAGAAAATCTTTAAACTAAATAGAATTATTGAAATAATAATAAGAGTTATTTTTTTATTCAATAATCTCAAACTCTTAGTTGTATGTGTGAAGAGTCGGAACTATAATTCTGTCTAGCTCACACACATGTGTGTAAAACACTTAGTTGAAAAATATATAAGATTTAACTCATCATGTGCCACTGCACTGTACAGTGCTAAGCACCGGTCAGCACTGTACTGTTTTAATCTAGACAGAATTATTTTTCAATATCACTGTGACAACAAGCACAATTGATATGTAACAGTTTATAATAGTGTCACTATTTAAGTACCTGTAAAGGAAATTTAATGTGTATTTCTGTCCCTTGTATTAAAATTGCATTTATTGATAATAGTTATAATTGGAATATACAAATGATTTTTGTTACACCTATTAATTATCTTAGTTAATATAGTTAGTTAAATATAAATCGCACTTAAGTAAAAACTGTAATTAAGCCAATAGGTTTTTTAATAAATGTCTGTTTATGTATTAAATTGTTTTAAATTTTATTTTACTCTATAAATTACTAGTTTAATTTGCCCATAACACAGGTTGAGTTAGAAATTGTGCCCACTTATGATGGTAAGTGCTTGGGTCAAGTACAATTAGATTAAAAACATTTCCTACATGTTACGTACAAACACGACACTAATTGGTCCCTTATTAGCTAATATGCGTCACCTACGGGGTACATACTTTAGCAATTAATAACTATTTAGCTACTTTTAGAAAAACATGTTTTTATCTAAAATGCGTAACGTGTAGGTATATTATATACCTTATCTATGATTTCGTCGCTTCTCCATAGCAACAAGACCTTCAAAGCCATGTAGATAAAATTTGTCTTGTATAACTCAATCAATGGGTTACTAATTCCTGCGGTAACCACTGGGTAATCTTTTGCCTTTCGACCTACGAAACGGTAGCAGTTACGATTATAGACTTTTATGGATACAAATATAAAACACATTGTAGACAAGGTCTTTCAAAAATCTTAAGATGCCACCAAAATGAATGTATGGAAAAAGTCGAAAACAGAGAATTGACAATTAGAAAAACTTGTACTATACCTAACTGACATGACTGACGACTGACATCAGAAATACCGCATGGCTTTAAGTTAGGTACTTAGTTTTATCCAAGTCGGGCTTCGCGTCGCCAAAGAAAGAAAGCGCCTAATATTGTCTGCCTTAGTTTGTGAATTTTTTGAAGGATGGAATCATTTATTTCTCAAAGATGAATCACTTTACACAAAAAATAAACAAAATTATAAATAGAAGGTACAATTACAAATCGTTCAGAGCTCGTTTACAATACTAAAATATATTGAGGGTAGTTGACAAAATTGATAAATAAAGTTAGGGACTATTTACACTCGTTGCATTACTAATGCAACGAATGTAAATAGTCACTAACTTTTTTGCATTACGGTAATGCAGCATTACTTATTTAAATAAAATATGTTTACTTTTGTAGTCTTTTAAGATGTGACATTTTACATATTTCTTAAATAAGCTTAAAGATTCCGTGTCTTTAATTTTCTTAGGTAATGCTTTTTTACCGTAATTTGTTCTAGACTTTGGTAAAACAAGGTGATGTGCTCGTCTTGTAGTAAAATTTTGTGTTTGCGATTTTTTTACTAATGAGAACTGCATATATTATGTATTTACCAGTTAGAATTTTATGAATTAAAATACATATCCTAAGTTGATAAATTTGTACAAAGTTAAATAATTTTGTATGATCTTCTGTGTCGATTTTAAATAATTAAAATGAAAAATAACTTTGTTTTGGGCAGTTTGTATCTTATTGACATTTGTTTTCGCTGCAGTTCTCCAAACTTCTATGAGATATTATTCTTATTAAAATTTACAATTCGCTTGTTCGGGCAAACATCTAACTATTCCGAGCAATGCTCCTGTAAGACTCGACAATTTGGAACATTTTTTTTGACACGTGGTTCCCAGGTTAATCGGCATCTAATATCAGTCCAAGATATTTCTCATTGTTCACTTTCCTTAGAGTTTATGGTTATGAATATTTTTAGCACAAAAATGATGTAGTTGGACTTATAAGTATTGATTACGGATGAAATATTTTTCTATATGTGCAAGGTCGTCTTGTGCATCCTGTATTATTATTTCTATGAAGTGTCCAATATAAAAAAGACAAATCTCATCGGCGTATAAAGTGATATGTCCTTTCAGTCCTATTTTATGAATATTATTAAAATAGATTAACTTTATTTCTAGTGCATCGACTCAGACATTTCTCCACCACCCAAAGGTTGACTGGGAGAAAATGCCTGTGGCATAAAGTTCGCCATTGTACAAGTTAGTTGTAATTTATGCTTAAAAAAATAAAATAAATAAATAGTAATGGTCCCCAAATTAAACTTTGGGGCACCCCATAACTAATTATATTCGGTGTACTTATTGTATCTAAGACTAGCTGACCCGCGCAACTTCGTCTGCGTATCTCAATAGTAATAAATTTTCTCCGTTTTTGAAACATTCTTCATTGGTGCTCCGCTCCTATTGCTCTTAGTGTGATGATATATAGCCTATAGCCTTCCTCGATAAATGGGCTATCTAACACTGAAAGAATTTTTCAAATCGGACCAGTAGTGCCTGAGATTAGCGCTTTCAAACAAACAAACAAACTCTTCAGCTTTATAATATTAGTATAGATTTGGCTTATGGCGTGGCTTGTTATCTGTTTGGAAGGCATGATTGAAACATTTTGAGTGTATTGCCATTAATGCCGAAAGAAAACAACTTTTCCAATAGTAGGCTATGACTGACGGTATCGAAAGCTTTTTTAAGTCTATAAAAATTCCTAGGCCTATATGTTTTTGATCAATATGTGTCTTAATTTTTTAGTTATCAAGTCTGTACACGCTGAGAGAGTATTTGACTTTAATCTGAATCCGTATTGTCCTTCAAATAATTTTTTACAGCATCAAGGTATTCACTGATCATCTTGTGTATTTTTTTTTCATAAACCTTAGACAGAACAGGTAACACAGATATAGGTCTATAGTTTCCTGGATCTTGTTTATCTCCCGCTTTATACCTTAGCACGTTTCAGTGTATTTGTGAAGTACCCATAACTCAAACATTTTTTAATGCATCTAGTCAATGTAGACTAGATGCATTAAAAATGGGGTGTGAGGGGCGAACCACCATCTTTCGCCCCAAGCCAACCTCACCTGCCCGCGGTGCATCCTGCTGAACGACGAACGAGGCTCTGGCGACCGACCGATGGCGGTATATCCATCCCAATAGGCGTAGCTAAATACAACAGGCCGGTGACGGGCAGCAGCGTTACCGGTGCGAGAAGCTACGCCCTGCGATCGCCAACCCGCCTGCCCAGCGTGGCGATTATGGGCAAACCCCTCCCATGCAGACGCAACAAAGGCCACGGCCCCCAGTTCCCGGCGGCCCCGCTATTCCTGGTCATGGTGGCGACCACGGTAAAGGCGGGGCAGGGGGTGCGAAGAATCTC